TCTCTCTCTCTCTCTCTCTCTCTCTCTCTCTCTCTCTCTCTCTCTCTCTCTCATATATATACACAAAAGCCAGGCAGTGGTGGTGCACACCTTTAATCCCAGCACTCAGGAGGCAGAGGAGGGTGGGTCTCTGAGTTTGAGGCCAGCCTGGACTACATAGTTCGTTCCAGGACAGCCAGGGTTACACTGGCTCTAGAAACCCTGTTTCAAAAACCAAAAACATTTTATTTAATCTTATTTTCTATTTTATTTTATTTATATTTTTTCTTCTTTCTTTTTACCCTACAGATCCTTTGTATATTATTGTGGCTTTCAATTCAGTGTTTTTATGAGATTCCTGAGTGTGTGAACAAATTAAAGGCGTGTACCACCACTGCCTGGCTCTTGTGCCTTTTCTTGGGTTCTTCTCCTTCTGTTTGTTTTGTCTTATTATGAAGTGTTAGCTTTTGTTTTATATTATTTTATTAGTCATTTAGAAGCCTGTTCGTCTTCTAAGAGACAGAAAGGTGTGGCTCTGGATGGAGGGGAAGTGGGGAGGAACTGGAAGAAGTAGAGGGAGGGGAAACTGTAATCAGAATATATTATATGAGAAAAAATCTGTTTCAATAGAAGGAAAAAAATATTTTTAGAGGGGGGAGGGGTTCAAAAAGGCCATTCTGTTTCCAGTGCTCTCTTGTTACAGAATTGAAATGTTTGCTAAGAGGCAGGCTTGCTACAGGGTTTGCAATTAACTCCCCCCTTTCCTACATGTGGGGGCCTTAAAACACCGATGAGGAAGTCATTCCTAGAGCATTCAACTGCTGGGCAGTTGTGTAAGATAAGATGGAATCACAGTGAGGAAACTTCTCTTTTCACCAGTTTAGAATTTTGAAAAACCACTGTTTCCAAGGGAACCATGCACTCAAATCACAGTGAATGGAGAAAAAAAAAAAAAAAAAAAAAAACAACCCCCCAAATCTTACTCTCTCTCTCTTTCTCTCCCCCTCCCCTCCCTCCCTCCCTCTCCCTTTTTCTGTCTGTCTGTCTGTCTGTCTATCTGTGTCTCTCTCTCTCTCTCTCTCTCTCACACACACACACACACACACACACACACACCTGCTCATCTGCATGTCCCATGTGTATTTTCTGTACTATCTCAGCCTGGGACTGAGAGATTTATGAAGGTCAGCTTGACTGTGAGCCGAGTGCTCTCCTGTAGCAAGCTCAGGATATGACCACTTTTGAGGCAGCAGGGTGTCTTGACATTATGAGGTAAATTGCCTCCTCTTGGCTACCAAGTGGTACCAGGAAAAAGTAATTTACCTTCTTCAGGTTACACACGCACAGAGGATAAAGCACTCACCTAGATGAGCAAATTGCTTTTCCTTACATTATGAGATGCCACCCTGACACCGTGTTCTCTTTGCCCTGGTCCATCAGAGGGCTGGCTTTTAGCATTCGATTTTATGCTTTTCCCCCGCTTCAGTGTACAGTTAGACAAAGAACTCAGTGACAGAAAGGCCCTGCATTGAGTGAAGATCAACAAAGAACTGCTGGTGATGCAGGCTGGATCTACGTCAAAGAGAAAGATGCATTTCCAACATGATGCAGAACAGCCATGTTCAACAGGGCTGGTTTGCAGCAGCTGGGGGCAGCTGAGTACGGGCATCTGCAGTGGTACTTCCTACAACTCTCTTAAAACTGCTTTCCTAAATCCCATGACATCAGTCAAGATAGGACCTGGGCAAAGGCTCTACATCCCTGTGGTGAGAGCAAGGAGATGACCTCGTTCAGGAGACCCTGAGTGCTTTCACTCTATGCCTTCAAAAACAAGCTCATAAATTATCCCCCATGTCTTCCAAGGGTTAATGTGACCCTCCTCCTCTCGGTGACTCACTGCCCCTTCATCCTCAGAGACAGGTGTGCCACGGGTTTGATTGTATCAAAAATAAGCATTCACTCAGGATTGAATGTTTACAGAATTAAAAGCATGAGAAAATCTTAGACATATATCAAGATGGGCAGGTACAAAAATACACAAGGGTGTCCTGACCCATCACGGTTTTCATGGAAGAATTAACTTCAAAAAGGCAGAGATTTTTTGTGGTTTGTTTTGTTTTCTTGGAACACTGCTCCATGAACTGATAGAAATAAAACAGACACAAGACTTCCTACGTATAATTACTTTGTGCTATGAATTTGCCCCTAAGCTTTATTTATTTTCCAATGAGGCCCAAGTTTGTATCCACAGAAAAATTAACATTTTTTTAAATGACAGATACAGTGTTTAAATTGCAAATTGCTTCTAAACCAGTGATACCTTGCATGAAGGCAATCTTTCCAAACATCATACTGAGGAAAAAACAGTGGAAACCATGCGTCTGTGAGAAGCAGTAGTGAATGAGACCGGAAGCTCTCCACATAGTCCCAGGACTGTCCATTCTCTGGGGCCTCCCTGGGAAGCAGGAGTGGAGAGGCAGAAAGGGTCCCACGAAGGAGAGCCGGCAAGTTTGCAGTTACTTAGTTTTGTCATCCTATAAGAATGGTATCAACACAATTAATTGGCTGTTGAGTTTTGGACTCCAAAATATAGTGCATGTAATATTCTCCATAAAAGGGGGAGAGAAGGTAGAAGAAAAGGGAGACAGGGAGGGGGAAGAGGGAGGTGAGCAGAGAGAGCGACAGAGAGACACCGAGAAAAAAACAGAGAATGAACTGACATGAAAAGGGAGGGACTTGAAGATCCATGTGGCCCCTCCCCTTCCGAGACAGCCGGGAGGAGGGCAACCGGAAGCTCGGGTGCTTGCTGTGTCTTCTGGAAAGAAGGAAGCATTAGCTCCCTTTCTACGCCTGCCCAGAAACCAAGTCTTCCTTGTATTTCCTTCACGCCTTCGTTTTCTCACTTCTGTATAATTTTGCTACATAAAACAAAATTTAGAACCATTGTCTGTTCAGTAAATATACTTCATGTATCTTCTCCCTGAGTTTATCTGGGATTTCATTTATTTGTCCTTTTCTGCATTTACTCAAATCAAATATATATGGGGTGACTATTACCTTCTAGAAATTGTATCACACAGTAGGACTATATACTGGACAGGATATTGGTGTCTCATTTTTCAATGTGAAAAAAAAAAGCCTGAAGATAGTTTTATGGTGTGAGAATACAATTAGCAAAGGGGGGAAAAGAGGCACATTTCTAAATTTTTATTTTAAAGATCTAATTTTTGAAAATGTGTAAGAGATTTTAAGTTCAGGGTTAGATGAAGTTACAGGGACAAAATGCCCTTCCTTGTCTGAAATAACCAAATATTTGATAAAACACATGAAGCAATATTAGTAAGTACTAAAATTAGACACTGGGTGTCAGTGCACTAAGCTGTGCAGTGGGACTCTGAGATGATTCCTAGGATGCAGTAAAGACAGGGCACTGGGGCACGGTGTGGTAAACTCCCTGAGTTGAGAAGAGGGATCGGAGAGCAAGCACACCATAGTGTCTGGGAGTTGTCAGGATGGGTCACTGGAAGGGAGAGTTTGCACAGAACTCCAGAAGTCCCACTACATCCTTAGCATAGAAATGGGTATCGCCGACTCAGTGTGCCACCCTCAGGGAGTGCAGCTGTTACCATCAGATAAAATTAGACAAAGAGTTGGCAAGTCAGTTCAACCATGTGCAATGCACCACTGCCTCTCCCTTTCAACTGGCTTTTTAGGTTAGCATACAAAATGCCAGGCTTTCTCTAGTGTCCTCATCATATGAGTGTGTCATTATACACACTTTCTTCTTTCTAAAAGACATTTTACCTTGTATTTTATTCTGTCCCCCGCCCCATAGGTCAGAGGGCTTCCTACTAGAGTTGATTTTCTCCTACCTTATGGGTCCTGGGGATCAAACTCAAGTTGCCAGACTTGGTGGCTAACCTTCTTCACCCTTTGCACCATCTCGCTGGCCCTAAAAAGAATTTTCAAAGCTGCAAAAGGATAATAAGAACAAACTTCAGTCAGAAAGAAAAAAAAGAGCCAAAAAATTGTGTACAGATGGATGGCAGATACGAGTGCTTGTGGGAAGCTATTCCCTCAGAGGCAAGAATCACATGAAAGACAAAGCCGTTCATTTGCCGCCCAAGTGATGGGGTGGGACCGGCTGAGACAGCATGGTGGGAGGGTTGGGACAGGCTATTCCAAACTGTTGACAAATCAGAAGCCTAACTCTAACAAGCCAGGCATTCTGATTGCATGTGTTGCCATTGTCTATAACCATGATATTCATTCATCTTTGTGTGAATCAATACAGGGACCCTAAGATTATTGAAAGTCCTCCTACCTACAAATTGTGAGCACTCAGTGGGTGCTGAAATCCAGAGCAAAAGTAGGGAGAATGTCTGTACTTCTGTGTGTGGTGGACATGTCTACGGTGAGACTTCGCTAATTTCAGCTGCTTCTGATATCATTTTTATCAACAAGAAAACTAGTTATTCAATGCCAAAACATGTGAATTTCTTGTACATGTTGTATTCCTGGTGTGTACCATCATTATGTTCATCTCTGGAAACACAAAAGAAACAAAACATGGCTTCTTTTATCAAGAAAATAACCATGCCAATGTGTGCCAACCATAAACAAGTAACCTAATAAGTCACACACATAGTGAATAGAAAGCCAATGGAAGGCATTTTTCTAACTGTGAATTTATGTTCTTTGTCCCATCATACCATGAAAATAGATGGCTTCTTTCCATTGTCTTCCTTTGTAATACTGAACCAAAAATGTGGGCAGGTACCATAATGTATTTCTTTACATTTTCTCAGTCTGGTTTTACAGCCTCTGTCTGGGTACCAATCAATTTACAAAATTCAAAAGTATATAAATAGCTCAAAATCCTACCTTGACAAACAATTCTATAAAAAAAAAAACAATTCCATAACCAAAGTTGTGGGTACAGCATACTCTGTGATGCTTATTTACATAATATTTCTATTTCCGAGTTTCCAGTTGCCTCCTTCCCGTATTCAAACATGTAGCTTGGTGCTGTGTCCATTACAAAAGAGATGTGTCAGAGCAGAAACCAAGATCTGCACAAGGCTGGGGCATCTGTTTCTTTAGAGTGCAAAGTGATGGTCTGTGTACATACAAAATATTTTCGTGAGAGAGTTGTTTCTCAGCTCATCCCCATTCACCATTAGAGACAGAGTTTGTGGAACAGCCAGTATGTCACCTCTACCTGGTTCTTGAAATACTACTGGGAGAAGACAAATGCCTCAGGCCAGTTTTCTTACCCAGCCCCATGGTCATAATGGAAAGAGCATCCCACTGTCTACCTGTCTAAGAACACAATAAGTCGAAATACATTAAGTCTAAATAATAACAAGTCAAAACAAAATTATGAATGTCCCAAATTTTGAATAACATTTATTCTGATTTCTCTCACATCCTCCTGCATCTTATCTCCCTTTCACACTATCAATAACCCAACCTCCTTATAAATTCCTTTTTGACATTCATAACTTTTGTTCTATTATATGACCCAACAAGTTCTATCAAAGGTGTACATTTGACCATGAGTTTGGAACTGTCCTGGTAGGCTCACAGTTGTGTAGCTGAAGACAGTGATTCCCCCCACCCCCAGCATCTACCAAGTGGTTGGTAGATCTATCAATCCTTCCCCTAGTAGTTCCCTGGGGAAGGATCCACCCCCACCCCCCGAATTTTAGCAGAAATAATTAAACTTTTACTTTCATGATCATAGAATCCCACAAGAAGGAAAAGGAAACTGACATTTTTATGGCCAACTATTTAGAATGCTATCTGTACTGTGAAGGGTGGCACACACACTTTTCCCACAGAAGGCGCCATGCTGCTCTGGACCACGTACATTCTCAGTATGCAACCACCAATGGAGTTCACTGGACCACGTACATTCTCAGTACATAACCACCAATGGAGTTCACAAGGCCTGTTTTTTGTTTCCAAAAGAAATGTTCCTGAACTGTGGCACAACACTCTGCATTAGCCACATTTTGTGGGGATCTGGAATAGTCACTTCCTTATAGGAAGGAAGTGTCAGTAGACACCTCAGTGCCCAGGGCTTACTCTTCTGCTGCTGGCTGATACTGTCTCACCACACAGGAGTATTTGGTAAACACTCTCTGTCTCTCCCCTGGAGATGCTCTTATGTACTCGGGTTGGTGTTTCTCAAACAGACGTGCAGTGAGAAGTGTTTCAACATTTGTCATGCTGTGTGCTAAATGTGCCAGATGACCTCTCATTTTGTCTTACAAGTTCACAGTGACTTCACATTTTGTAATTGGCTGAAGTCAGTGGTGTGAGCTGTGGCTGTGATGACCCACAGATCCGAAGGTCTACTATCATAAAGATTTCAGCTCTTTAATGAAAACAACTTGTTACATGTGTGATCAAATGTGCTTTTGAGCTCTGCACTTGTCAAACTTTTCTAGGAAATTAATTTACAAATCAGAAAACATCTGCTATCCGACTCTATGCCTCAAGTTGAGATTTAGAATCTTTGTCTACCACATCGCCACCTTGATTGAGTCCTATATAGGCCTGTCTCCAGATGTCTTGGGTGACATCTCTGAGCCCCAGGCCCTGGCAGAACAAGACATACCATTTCCTTTCTTACTTTCCTCCTTTCATAGAACACTCTCCTTCTTTCCTCTCTTAACTAATTCCACCATTCTTCCTTTGAACTCTGGTTACTACTTGTCATTGTGTTCAAGTGATTTGTGTACGAATAAGGACACATTTGTACAATAAGTTTGGAGTTCAGAGGTCAACTTTCAGGAGTTGGCTCTCTCCACCATGGGATCTGGGGATGGAACTCAGGTGGTCAGGCTTGTAGAGGAAGGTCTCTTTCTATTACTCTCACAAGAGGTTTCACATAGTCTTCTGTCTTACTAACCACAATACTGATTTTCCATATTGTCTAAATACATGGCCAGGTTTTGCATAAATTAATCCCTCTGACAAGGTAGCTAGTCAGCTCTTAATAATGTGAGAGGTCACTGGGGATTTTCAGCTTGGAAACAAACAAACAAAAAAAAAGAACTTAAATTGCAGCATTTGATTGTAGGTCACAAGAATGGCATCTGAGTAACACATCTGGCCCTGGGTGGAGACATGACATTTTGAGCTACATGGAAGGTCATAAGATTATTATCTAACCAAAGGCTTTCTGGTAAAGTATGACATAGCATTTTCTCCTCCCTTAACAGTTAATCCAATGGCCTATCAATCACTTGGGTATGAAAATGCCCCTGGGAAAAAGTATCTGTTTTAGAGCTTTTAGTATAAATCCTGTTTAAGATGTAGACAGGACCAACGTTCTCTTGGTCATTGCCCACTCTTACCCCTTGAGAGTGCTTCACTTTAATAAACCCTACCTGCCTTCTCCTCTACATTCTGTGTGCTTTATTTAACTGTTTTGTTGACAATCACAAAGAATAGGAGGCTTAGGGGAGTCCCAGGTGCTATTCCACTGACATCTTTTGCATTCCCATTGAACGCCCCTCATTTTTGTTGGTACAGTATGGAGTTCTCTTTTGAACCATAGACCTCTTCACTCCTTTCTGCTTGCCGTTTTCCTCCTGAATGCACATTTTCATCTAGCTGTGAGATCACCCTTACTTCTTTGCTTTCAGAATATGTAATCTTCAGTGACCTGCTCTTATTCTTTTGTGTTTCTGTCTCCTGCTACATCCATGCTAAGCTCACTCAAATGTCCATTTTCAAGATGGGGTAACTATGCCCATATAATGCTTTCTGAGCACCCTCTTGTCATGTGAGAAGGACCCTTTCTTATGTTGGATAAAGGAAGTTATGTCAGATTTCAAATGGTAGGAATTTCTCTTTCTGAAGAGAAATTTGTTATTTGTTATTTTTTGTTTTTGTTAACTGTGTCCTGAAAGGAACGTTGAGATTCACCTGTGGCTATTAGCTTATGAGTCACTGTGGCCAGTGATTCTTTCCTTTTGTGTGTTTCTTCATGGTATCTCCAAATATTTGTAGGAATAAAATGCATGCTATAACTAAGAGAGATGATCATACCTTTATTGTGCATTTACAAAGGATGGAACTTGAACCTCAATGGCCAGTGACTTGACTTTCTCTGGCTAAAGCAACTTCAGGATCAGACAAGGCTTGCTAGCCTAATTTTTAGGGCTTCTGAGTAAAAGAGAGCTGTCTCAACCACCCACTAGTACCCCAGGCTCCTCAAAACAAGAGACAGCCCCAGAACTAACTAGTGTCCCAGGCCCCTCAAAACAAGAGATAAACCCAGAATTAACTGGTGTCCCAGGCTCCTGAAAGGAAAAGTGTTGTGTGATATCTTGATTGTGTTCTGACAAATAAAGCTTGCTTGGAGTCAGAGGACAGAGCTAGCCACTAGTTAACCATAGAGATTTGGAGGACTGTAGAGAGAGGGACAGGAAGTGATAAGGTGGGGTAGAGACAGGATCTCTGCCCTTTTGGGACTGGAGAAATGGAAGAGAAAGAAAGTGACTGTGGCTGCTCTCCTGCTTTTCTGGTCTTTCAGGTTTTACTCTGATACCTGACTTCTGGTTTTTTTATTGATAATATTAATTAGGTTTACACTTCAAAAAGAGATGCTCCAAACAGTCACTGGCATTTGTTTTCCCCTCTAGATGGGCAACTCCCTTTGATTCTTTTTATTTATTTATTTATTTATTTATTTATTTATTTATTTTGGTTTTTCGAGACAGGGTTTCTCTGTGTAGCTTTGCGCCTTTCCTGGAGCTCACTTGGTAGACCAGGCTGGCCTCGAACTCACAGAGATCCTCCTGGTTCTGCCTCCCAAGTGCTGGGATTAAAGGCGTGTGCCACCACCGCCCGGCCTCCCTTTGATTCTTATTGATTCTCCTCTCAGTTGTATCCTTCATAATTGGGACATGTTTTACCCAAAAACTTGGAATAAAAAGAGACTGTTATTTTTGGA